CTTCCGATCTTCCCGCCCGCCGCGCCGGGCCGGGCCCCCGCCGCGCCCTCGCTCGTCGCGGCCGGCGGAGCGGCGCCTCGACGAGGAGGAAGAGGCTAAGGATGCGGTGTGAGGAAGGCGAAGGCACGGCGGGCGGGAGAAGGGAACGCGGCACTCACCGGCTCCACCGCCGCCATCTTAGAGCGCTCGGATCGCGGACGCACCGCGGGGCGGGGCGGGGGCGGGTAAAGGCCCCGGGCCGCGCGCGATTGGCCGCCCGGTGGTCACGAGCGCCCGGCGGCCGTTTGGGGCGCGGTGCCCGCCGGGAGATGTAGTCTCCAGCGCGGGGGCCGCCGGGAGCCCCTCCTACTGGGTCCCGGGCAGGAAGAGGTGGGCGGCGGCGGGAGCGCCCTCTGGCGGCCGCTGCGGGAGCAGCAGCGCCCGCCCTGAGCGGGCCCGGGCTCCGGAGAGCTGTACCGAGCACTGCGCTCTGAGGGCTCCTGTCCCCAGAACACAGCGCTCTGAGGGCTCCTGTCCCCGGAACACAGCGGTGTGCAGTCCCCTGTGCCCAGAACACTGTGCTCTGAGGGCTCCTGTCCCCGGAACACAGCGGTGTGCAGTCCCCTGTCCCCAGAACACTGCGCTCTGAGGGCTCCTGTCCCCGGAACAGAATCAGAGAATCATTTAGGTTGGAAAAGAGCTTTAAGAACACTGAGCCCAACTGTTAACCCGGCACTTCCAAGGCCAGCTCTAAACCATGTCCATGCACACATTTTTCTGCACACTGTCAGCCTGTCACGGGATTCATTTCGGTGCTGTCGTTTGATTAGTACTTTTCAAAGGCAAAAGGTTCAATAAAGAAAAACACACCAAAATATTATTAAGTTCTTAACCTTTTGTAATGCTGGTTGATGAACAGTTTTGAAACATAACATTTTTGAAAGTAAAAGAACTGGGGCATATCTTTATCCCAGGGACAAAACAGAAATTGAAAAAGAAAATATTTCTTCCGAAACTGTATAATTTTAAATCACATTGTGATGGCAAAACAAGAATGTAATCCCTGAAATTTGTACATTCAGAAAGTACATGAAGCTTTTTTTTTTTTTTTTTTTTTTTTTTTTTTTCTTTTTTTTTTTTTTTTTAGTCCAGTGGTATACAGTTCATTTTACCTATTTCATAAAATTTTATTTCTGGTAATTCATTTTATATGGTTTGATGCAAAACAGTAATTAATAAATCTTCCTATTTATTTACCTAATAATGCTGCCATATGGATGTTATATTTCACTTTACTTGTTTGGCAGCAAAGCACATTCTTTGACTGCCTGTTTTAATCCTGCCTTTAAGTCTCTTAACATAAATAAAGATAATCCATCCAGAATCTTCTTCCTCACTGATAATTTTTTCTTCATTTTCTTCTGTGTTTAAGTTTGTATTTTTATTCTCAAAGAACAAACCTACATTTTACAGCCCTGAAGGTCATTTTACTGAGAAGAATATAAGTGAGTGTTAACCACCAAATTGTATTGAATGTCATATAGCATTTGGCTATTTCACTTCTCTCATGCAAGGCAGGGGGAACAGCATGAAGCCCTCTATAAGACAGCTATGCTTATTAACAGTGTTTAATTAGCTAGATGAATATAGCTCAGCTGAGCTCAGGACACGGCCTACCTCACTGCCACACAAATGGGAAACAAGCACGTGTTATGGTTTGGGACATGTTTTTTTCTTTGATTTGTTGAGTTTTGGAGGAAAAAAGCCTCTAAAGATGACATCAGAAGTTATCCAACAACTTAGAGCAGCAATGAGAGGATTATGAGCCAGTGTAATCCTTTGAAGTGGCTAGCACACATCATAGACACGATGCTCAGGAGTGATGTGGCTGCCTTGCAAGTGATATAATCCTAACTACAAGGAAATTTAAGACAGAAGGCAAAGAGGTATCATAGATACAGCCAGGAAACCCCACCTCTTGAAGTTATAGTGGAAAAAAGAAGGGGCTGAAGTAAAGAAATGCTGAGTATCTCATCTTCAGCAGTCCTTCAGGGATTTATCAGTTTCCAGTGTGAATTTAGGTAGTTGCTGGGAACATCTTCATTCTGCAAAGTGTGGCATCCAAGTCAGAGGAGTGTAGGTATGAGCTCTAATTGATCTGCATGCCTGTATCTCAATGATTTGAATGAAGTAACACTTTTATAATCACCATGTTGTATGTGATTAAAAATCTGATCATCTTAATTTGATTTTGAAATCTGAAAATAAAAAGAATTTTTAATGTCACACTGATTTTACTACTATTAAGTCTATTTTTATGGCCCTCAGATGACACTGAGTGAAATCTCTTTGGATATCAGTAACATTCCTGTTGAATTCATTGGGCCAGAACTTCACTCTATGACTTCTACTCTGTTTCCATAGCAAATAGTAAAATTTTTCTCATCTCCAGACATATTCATGGATTCTTTCAAATATTTTCAGCAGTGGAGTTTCTCCCTTTAAAGCTTGCAACTTACTGGTTAAATAGGAATGCTTTTTATAAAAACACCTTTTTTTTTACAAAGATGCAGCTTGTTTCCCTTTGATCTTGTCCCATGATAAAACAACCAGTTTCATATGCATACATGGGAAAATTCTAGAATGCTTGGATACCAGAAGAGTGTTCTTGAATGCAGAGAGAACCATTCTCACATCATAGTGCAAATTTGATGCCCTACATTAATACAGACTCTGCAAGAGGCAGTACAGTTTGAACAATCAAATCAAAAGAAAAGGATGCAGGACCTTCCTTTTCACCACAACTAAAGCTTGCTTGGAATTAGTTTTGAGTAAGGCTGCTCCTGCCTGGATTGTGGCTGGAGTGGGCCTTTCAGTAGTTTAGTTTACATCTGCACCAATGGAGGGGAAAAGACTGATGCAAGGGTTTAAAATACATTGCAGCCTCTTTCAACTTAGACAATTGCACAGAACCTGAAATCCCACATGATTTTTCCTTAAAGAATAAAAATGGAGACAGGTATTTCTTTAATGCAACTCTGTTCATTTACAAAGGATGTTTACAATTATTTTTCCCCCCTATGCTCTTAGAAAGACTATTTTGCTTTGAGCACAGGTTTGTCTTTTCCTCTGAGTAATGTTTCCTATAGGGCTGGTTTCCATTCACTTTTTAAGGTCATGCTTTTGTAGCAGTCTTTGAGGTGTTTGTGATGGGTTTGCAATTTCTCTTTTTTGCATGCACATACAGACACACACACAACCTACATAACTGTTGCATTTGGTATGAGAAACTCAGTAAGTGCCTGTGCCATCTGGCCAAGCCACAACAGTGCACATTTGCATGTGGTCTGGCTCCTGGGTGGCATTTTTGCATTGTTTCAGCCCTCCCTAGACAAAGAGGCATTTAATTGTGTCTTCAATGAGCCTGAACAGGAGACAGCTACCAAGAGCTTCACTGGGAAAGGGGGACTGCCCAGCCCCCACTGCTGCAATGCAGAGAGGCAAAGTGAGGAGGGGGGACCCAAGCTAAGGTGCTCTCTTAATTAAGTAATGTCAAATTCAGTGGCCATTTTCTCCCTAAGCAGCAGCTGTCTCAGCTGCCAGCTGCTCTCGCTTTTCTGCAGCTGCTCTCTGACCCATGAGACATTGCTGACCTCCCCTTTTGCCCTCTTTGCTGCCCTCACGTTCTCCCAGCCTTGCATCACTTTGGAGAAGCTGGGAGGACAGCAGTGGACACAAATCAAGCATCATGAATGGGCTATAAAATTCGTGACCCATGCACTGGTCTCTGTGTGTGCTGGTCTGTAACACAGGGGGACAGGCAGCCAGAAAGGGACGTGAAAAGCCTGACAGAGAAAAAAGACCTCTGCTCAGGTAAGGTCACAGCAAAGGTCAGTGAACTTCCCCAGTGAGAATGATTGTGCCACCAAATAATGGGAAATGACAGTGGATGGACCTTCAGGATGCAGGAGCCAGTTCACTTTGTAAATCAGAACATCAAGGCCAAATTGGAAAACAAAAGCATTGAAATACCACAGAAACCACATAATTTTTAATATGGGGATGATGATGTAGGGCTGTTTAAAAACCATTTTAACAGCAAACCCTAGGCCAAATCTTTCAGGGTTTTTTATTCGAGGCTGATCTGCCATTGCAGTCTGTGTTCTTTCCAAAGACTGCTGAGGACAAGTACGCAAGTTTGCAAATTCCTCAGTTAGGGGGCTTGCTGTTCTTTAAATTACACATACATTTAAATTGTTTAATTAATACATGCATCCTTGGCTTCTCTAAGGAAGCAGGGAAACAGCATGCCTTTAATTTGCACTTCAGAAATACAGCAAATAAATGAAACTGAATAACAGAAGGAACTCCGTCTACTAGTTAGAGCAGGAATCCTCCTTTTTCA